AATTATTTTATGTTATATTACCAAAATAACCTTTTTATATTTTCAATCATTTTATTTCTTTTATTTTTACAGGGACAAAATTGATATTATAAAAATATTGATTTGTTTTCAATCTAAACTATTTGCCTATTTTTCTTAAGTAAAATCAATAAAAAAATAAATATTTTAATGTATATTTTAGACATTTTATATATATTTAAATTGAGTTTAATAATTATTTTTTTTGTCTGTTTTACTTAATGAAAATAAAAAAATTGTATAAATTAAAAATAAATTAAAAGATTATGGTTTAAATTGACAAAATTGAAAATTTAAGATTATTTTGTTACAAAACTCAAACTCTGAATTTTTTTTATTATTATTGTTTTTTTTTGTTGTTGTTGTAATTATCCCTAATATTTTTGTTTCAATCCAACAAAATAAAATATGTAAATTGTTTTTGATAAGTTATACGACTCATACCTAGTCTAGAGCTTAAAAGACATTTATTCTTGAAAGTTTATAATTTAGTATAAATTTTAAAAAATAATTACAGATTCGTGAAAAAATTTAAACTCTTAATTATTAATATTTATAAATTTATCACTAATTTATAATTATTTTTTAAAAAATTATTAATGATTTAACCAGTTAGGTCTTATAGAAAAATAATACATATAATTGTCCTTATCCTTAGAAAGGAACTCACCAAAGGAATCTTTTGAATTAATATCACCAAAAAATAAAAAAATAGATCTAATTAATTATAGTCTAGACAAATTATAAACAATGGCGAAACAATAAAAAAAAATAATGAAATGAAATATTAAATAATATTAAAAATAGCCAAAAATCAGATAAAATGGATAATTACGTATTAGAAAAAATAAATAATAGTCGAATAGAAATAGAAGAAGACCTATATAAGTTGTGAAAAATATACTAATTATAAAAACACACTTACAGATGATAATTAAGTTAATAATAAATTAAAATCTAGGCCTAATCACAATTTTTTATAACCTTTACATTGTGTTTAGTTCATGGATATGGTTAGAGATTTGAAAAGAGAATCGAAAGATAGGTAAAATATAAATGAATTATAATTACATTTCACATGCGTTTCACACCTTTTTCCTTCCCTTTTTCAAATCATTTTCTAAATCAAGGACCAAACACAACCTTAGGCTTATGTTCTATTTTATATTGTCTTTATGATTAAATTAATTCGAACTAAATACTTTAGAGACTTAATTGACAAATTGAAACTATAGGGACTTAAATGAAAAAGATATTATGGCCTTGTTTGGTTTAACTCTCAAAATACAATTTTTGAAAAAAATATTCCAAAATTTTGTTTCGTTGCACTTTCTCTCTTCTATGCATCAATCAATTACTTTTTCTTTCATACACATCTACTCAACTACAACAAAATATCAAATCATCCCAAATTTCCAAACTTCAAAACTATTTTCAAAATATACAACCAACCAAACAAACTAATTTTTTTTTTAAACTTTCTCCCCAAATTTTTTTTGAAAATTTATCTCAAAACACAAACCAAACACACAATTTTAAAGACTATTATTGTAATTTCTCTCACACACACACACACACACACATATATATATATACAAAGAAAAATGAAAACAATGAACTCAAATGCCAGTGCTCCTGCATGACATATATATATACACACTATTGAAAAAGGTCAGTGCTATGACCATTTGACTTTAACATTTTATTGAGTTTATTAAATAAAATAGAATAATATGATTTTTTTTGAAAATATTTATTTTATATTTGATTCATTCAAAAAATAATAAAAAAAATAATTATTCCGTAAAATAATTATTCCATAAAAAATGAAAAAAAATAATCATTTCATGTGATTGCACTTTATTCCATTCCACTACCTGAACTTTTTTTCTAAAAATAAGATTAGTTTTTTACAAAATTGAATAGAATCAATGATTAAATATATGATTGAAATTTTAATTTCTATTATAAAGTACAATTATGGAATAAATAAATGAGATAAAATTTTAGTTCAAATGAGTGAATTATTATTATTATTATTTTTAAGATGGAGTAATCGAATGATGATATTACACACCAATGATCATATAGTATCACGGTTAAATTTTGATTTGGTATATAAAAAAAAAATTAGACCCCTGTCAGACACGGGCTATTCTTGTTATAAAATTATATTTCCAAAATGCAAATCTTATAACAAATTATTTTGTTTGGTTTATTTTTTAAAATTATTTTTAGATGAATTTCATTTGTTTTCATAAAATATTTCATATTTTTTTCAAATTGTGTTTTTTACAATTTTTTTTCTATTTATTTTGTTAAATTAAAAATTCTAATAAGGAATAGTTGTAATTTCTAGTATTGTAGGGGCATTTTATATTTTGAACAAACCTCAGGAGTGTATTTGTATTTTACTCAAAACCAACATATATTTATGTGAGCAAGAATCTTTGCATTATTACAAAAACCCTGCACTCAAATCAGTACCACCAATATTGGTAAATATTTCCAAAGAAGAGGATAAAATGAGAAAGTCAAATTATAGGTTACCATTAATAAATTATACAAAATGAAAGGGCAAAATAGGAAAGAAAACCTCAGGGGTATATTTGTAATTTATCCAAAATCAAAATATTTATGTTTTTATAACTGACCAAGATTTTTGGCATAATTATGAAAAAAATCTTCATCCAAATTAGTACCACCAATATTGGTAAAAAAAATACAAAATAAAAGAGTAGAATAGGAAACTGAAATGCAAGCATCTATAGACAAATTACACTAATAGTCCCCATAGTTTGGAGTTTGTGTTACTTTGGTCCCTGACTTTTCAATTATGACACAGTTGACCACGAATTCTGAATTTTGTTCTAAAAAAGGACAATTGAAAATACCATTGCTCAGTTTTAATAACAAAATCGTCAATTTGATAAAATATAAACTAATTTGACAAAAATAAATGTTAAAAAAATATTTTTAAATTTTTAAAAATTATTTCTACCCACCAAAAATAAAATTATGCAAAATTGATAAATCTTTTACTCATTTATTTATTTATTTATTTTATAGAATTGATTTTTATTATGTGTTTGGATGATGATTATGTAATTTGTGGTTGTTAGTAATCAATATATTTAATATATGAAATGTTTTTAGTTTTGGATTTTTTTGATTTAATGGATTGGTTTAATAATGATATCAAAGTTATCGTCATATTTGACTTTTGAAAAAATGAAAACTAATTTAATAAAAATAAAAACAACCACTCATCACACAGTCATCATCCAAACACATAATAAAAATTAATTTGATAAAAATAAATAAATAAATAAATAAATATGTAAAAAATTTATCAATTTTACATAATTTTATCTTTGGTGGATAGAAATAATTTTTAAAAATTCAAAAATATTTTTTTGACATTTATTTTTAGCAAATTAGTATATATTTTATCAAATCGACGACTTTGCCCTTGAAATTGAGTAATGGTATATTCAATTGTCCTTATTTGGAAAAAGATTCAAAATTCAGGGTCAAATGTGTCACAATTGAAAATACACAAGTCCTAAATTATAGGGATTGCTACTGTAATTTGTCCTAGTAAATATCCAAACCAAAATCGGAAAAAAAATACGGGCCTAAAAGAGCTTTCATCCAAATTAGTACCACCAATATTGGTAAATAATAAAAATAATAAAAGGGTAAAATGGAAGTAAATAATTCCAAACCAAAAGGCAAAATCGAAAAAAAAAAATACGAGCATCAAGTAGGCAAGGGAGCATCTATTTACACACACACACCTCTCTCTATACACATCCTCCACACACAACTCTCTAACACACTCTCTCATTAAGTGTGTGAGAAAAGAGGATATAGTGTGTGCAAATAGAAGCTCCCAGTAGGCAAGCACTTCTTATACATATATATATATATATATATTTTTTTTAAATTCAAAAAACTCATTGCTGAGTGTTCAAAGTAGGAGTGACTGGGTGTTCAAAATTGCAATAAGTGAACTTGTTGAACGTATGTATTAGTATTAAAAGAAAAATAAAATAAAAAATCATGGTGTTTAATTAGCTAAAGAGCAGAGTCGCCGCTTCACTCTGTGTGTGTGTGTGTGTGTGAGAGAGAGAGAGAGAGAGAGAGAGAGAGAGAGAGAGAACCTGAAATATGTTTGAAAGAAATTTTTCTGTCAGGATGTCATTTTGCTTATTCTCAACCAATTTGAAGCAATTGTTGAAGGACACTAAGGCATTACGACGGTTTTGGGATGGAATCCATGTTGTTCTTAATGATGGGCAATCATCAGCAAATAGGAAAACTAATTGAGGTGAAATCTCTGGCAATTCTTGAAGCTTCTTGCAACCAATCAAATACAAGCCCAACAGATTTGAAGGTTGATTCATGCTTGCAGGTAAACTTTCCATATTATTTCCATTTAGGTATAAAAATGCCAACGAGTAGATGCTACAAATGGCTGTGGGGATAGATTTTAAATTACAGAAACTCAGATCTAGTTCCCATAAAGACTCCAACCCTGACAAGGCTGTTGTTAGTTCAGAAGCCATGGAATTAGATGATATTCCTTTACACCCTATTAGCGTTAGTATTTTAAGCTTCTTCAGACGTCCAATGGAGGATGGGAGTTGTCTAATTGCAGTCCAATCTGCACAAAGCTCTTTTAAATGGTACAAAACACCCAAGTCTGGCGGCAGTTTGTCAAGTTTGGAGCAACCAGAAAGGATTAAAGTTGTAAGATCTTTCAATTGACAAATGTTGTCTGGAATACTTCTCAAGTTTTTACAATCTCTCAAACTAATCAAACCAAGATTGGTAAGATGTCCAACTGAAGGTGGAAGTTCATTGATACCAGTCCCATCTAAACAAAGCTTTGATAAACATTTCATATATCTCAAGCTAATCAAAACGTTATCAAGCTTTGAACACCCAGAGACAATAAAAACTTCAAGAGATTCCAATTGAATGCCACAAGGAAGACTCTTGAGACTCTTGCAGTCCTTCAAGTTCAAACGAATAAGCCTTTTGACAACTACAATGGATGGATGAAGATTAACCAAACCTATACAACCTTCAAGAATCAGTCTTTCAAGATTTGGGACTCCTGTAAAGTCTGGACTCTTCGTCAGATATGTCGAATGACTAAGATTCATGATCCTTAACTTGTCAAGATGCTGTTGAAGAAAAATATAAATACAAATGCATTACAGAAATTATATAGAAATAAATTACATAAATTATATTGTGTCACGGATTTTGCATCTTATTCAAAGTAATTAAAGAGAATGCATATTCATACCATTGTTCCCTCCCAAAGTTGTTCAATGCTGCTATAGGTTAAGTGAAGTTCAACAAGATGCTCTGGTTGAAATGTTGAAGGCATGTATTTCATAGGGTATCCTAACCAGTCAAGATACCTTAACTTGTTAGGAAGATATTTGAGTTCTTCTGAGAGGTGCATACAACAAATTTTGAGAATCCTCAAGTTCGACATCTTTGCAAAAGCTTCAGGCCTCAACTTCAATTGTTTTAGAAACCGAATGTCCTTTGGATCTAGACCTCTTAGGTCACTATACTGCATAACTATGCCTTCCACTTTGTTTGTTCCCTAATAACCACAAGCAAATAACAAGAACACAATATTAGAAGGCTGACAAAATTATGCACAGCTAGCTTTTGTTAATTAAACAATTTTTAAGTGTTCATGCTTTTCTATAAGACCTCTTACCGTATTGTCCATCAATACATGTTTTATATCTTCATCACACCATAACCTAGTGCGCTTTCCAAGCTCTTTTTGTGATTCCTCGCAAACAATATGCCACCCTAGTTCTTGTATCAAATCATGCATCAACAACTTATTGCCTGAGATAGTTATAAGAGACTTCTGAACAAGAACATCTATTCCAATAACTGGGTGGAAGCCACAACTTTCTAATATTTTTGTTACATCATTTTTATCCTTCCCTTTGAAAAAACATGCAATATCTAAGAATATGTCTTTCTCTTCTGACTCCAATGCATCGTAACTTATTCTAAGTACTTGTAGAACTTCCTTGAGAGGGCTTTTTTTCAATCTGTTTAATGAACTTTCCCATTCATCTTTGTTTCGACCACAAAGGAAAGAACCCAAAACTTCGAGAGCTAAAGGAACTCCGTTAGCATACTTCACTGCATGACGGACAAGCTCTCCATAGCCTCCCATTTGTCGGTGTTTCCCAAAGGCTTTCGATTCAAGGAGTTCTATAGCTTCATCTTCTCTTAATTGCTCAACCTCATAGATATGTTTTATGCCATATCTAGTAAAGGCATGTTGATTTCGGGTCGTTACAATGATTCTACTTCCAAAACTGTACCAATCATGCTCTCCTACCAATTTTTCGAGTTTGGTTGATTCATCCACATCATCAAGCACGATAAGAACTTTTTTATGACATACCATGTTCCTTATCATATGTACTGCATGACCATCACTTTCTACATTCAAATCCTTTTCCATTAAGATTTCAGAAATGAGTTGTTCTTGCAAAGTTTTTAAACCACATTTTTCTAAAACTTCTCTAACATTCTCAATAAAGCTGTAACCTTCGAATTGGCAAGAGATACAGTCATAAACAGCTCTGGAAATAGTAGTCTTGCCTATTCCACCCATTCCCCAAATACCTACAACACGAGCATCATCCATCCCTAAACTTAGCAATTCAATCACTTTCTCCGTACGAGAAACCATCCCAACTAGGTCTTTGCCAATGCTTGAATATGTATCAATTAATTTTCTAAAAAGTATCCCGACAACTTCTTGGATGAACATTGATTCAGACCTGTGCAGATTTAGGCGAACAGTAATAAATTTATTCAACAAAACTCAAAAGAGCTATAAGAAGGAAAAGTGTCATTAGTTTGGTAAAATGGTGATTAATTTACTCATTACAATTGAATAGCACATATAAATATAGGTAGCGTTTGATAAAGTTTTCTAAATATGATTTGAGAATAGAGTTGTATTTTGAGTTTGTGAGTTTTGGAATTATGATTTGAGTGTGAAAAATTTGTTTGGTGAAAGAGTTTTGAATTGAGTGGGGAATTTTGATGTGACATATGATATTTAATACAAAAACTTACAATTCATAACCAAACACACAACTCAAAATTCTATTCAAAGTTCATAAAAAATTTTAAAAAATTTAAAATATAAAAAATAACATGTGCCAATTGTTAAAATAAATAAAAATAAAAATAAAATAACACTATTCCGATCAACAAGCCGGCCGGCCAAACGTTTAGGAGGACGACCAACCGGACGTCTGGGAGGACGACTGGTTGGCCCAAATTTTCCCGCCTTGGAAAGAGTTTTCAAAAGTAGGTATAGAACTAATTTTTGAAAACGCTAAACAAACACTACACTCAAAAGTGAGTTTGAAATTATATTTTGAAAGCTCCACCAAACAGAATAATTTCCCTATATTTGATATGATCATAAAAATAAAAAAACAAAAAAAAAAACATGAAAAGTCCTTATTTGCTTTATTTGAATGGCACATTGGGTTTCTAAATTTTCCCACAATTGATATACTTTACTAGTTATTTAATTACATTTGTTCAGTTCTACTCTAATTTGTTGTCAGAAACCCTTAGGAAGATTTCTATTTATAGAGTTGCTCATAGTATTTTTTATTTCAAAAATTTGTGTAAGAGTGTTTGATGAGACATTCGTCTACATCTTATGTGTCATAAATAGTTTAAACAAACAAGCAAGGGAAGAGATTTCGATTATTAACTTTTAGCCTGCTAGAAACCGCATCAAATCAGTTAGACTATATTTCTAGCCCTTCAACTTTAAGACAAAGTTGTTTTTGAATTTACGAGTTTGGTACGGATTTGTAGAGGAAAAGGAAAGAGGGCAAGAAATGTAAATAAAATATAAGTAAAAAAATTTCACCCTTCCTTTGATCTTTTTCTTTCCTCCAGAAATTCATGTCCAAACAAACCCTAGATCCAAACACAAAAGTGAGATGATGATTTTCTTTTTCTTTAATGTTATTAAACTTGACAACGCTTATTTCACGCGTATTATAATGTTTATTAAATCATTATTTTTACTGTCAAACTTGTTATTTCTTGAATATGATAATATTAGACGTCATATAAAATTATTTATGTTATAGAGTAATTTCAGTTGCACTAAGATTATCCTTCCAAATCAAATATGTTTTTTTTTTGTCCCTCCTTTTTAATCAGATCTTGCATCGCATATGCTGCAACTTCTTCTTAAATAATTTTATAATTACATCTGCATAAACAGAAGGAAAAATTGGTGAAAGTGTTCTGAAAAAAAGGTCAACTTTGATGGTTACATGGAGACATAGCACTTCCTGATTGGTAAGTTCAAAAATACAGTGATAAGAATAATTTTGGAGATTTGATTAAAACTTTATCATAATAAAATTTTAATGCATTTAGAAAAAGTACAAAAAAAAATTACTGAAAAATTTAATACATCATTTTTATCAAAATATTAAATTTTAAAATAATATAACTTTCAATGTAAATGTTGATTTTTAATAAATTTCACTCTATTTGGCTTCCATTTCCTAAATTCACTTTTCAGAAAATTTTACAGTTTCGTTTTTCATATATATATTTTTTTGTTTTCACTGAAATTTTTTAATATTTTAAGTAATTTTTTTTAATTTTTAAACACACCTAAGGTAAATACACTTAAAAAATATAATATTTGTGAAACAAATTTTTAAAAAATTCACTAAATATAAAAAATATAAAAATTACTTCAAATTTTAAAAATATTCAATAAAAATAAAAAAATACAAAAAATTACTTCAAATTTTAAAAATATTCAATAAAAATAAAAAAATACAAAAAATTAAAAACTAAAATTTCAAAAAATTGAAACCAAATATACTGATTAATATTTTTTGAATCCTCTCATCAAGATCTATCAAATAAGATTCACGTTGACTATGAAATTTTTAAAGAAAAAATAAAAATTTATTACCGCCGAAATTGATTTAAATAGTAAGAGTAACATATTACTCTGTTTGAGAGTAATATGTTATTCTAGTTCATATTACTTCTCCTTAGAATTTATGAAGTAAAATAAATTGAGCTATTATTTTTACTAATAAGGACCAATGAAGGAGTTTTGACTAAATTTTTCAATAATTTTTGATATTTTTACTCTTTGTATATTTTGTACTAATTTTTTTTTTTTTTTTTTTTTTAAATCTCGTAAGTCTGATTCTACAAATCTATTTTTAAAAAAATTGATACACGTGAATTTAACTTTTTGAGATGTTTCAAGATCAATATTAGTATGAAATTTAAGACATATATATTGATAAAAAGTGAATTTAACTTTTTGAGATGTATATCATTACACAAGTTTTATCTAATTATCAGTTACCTGACGATTGCATCACCGGGGTAAGGCCATCCTGATAAATTGGCAACTTGCTCCAAAGCATTCCTCCACCTTGGAACATTCTCCATCCCCAATACTCCCTGTTTGGAAACCAATTCATCAAATCCCTCCCCAAAACTCCCTCTTTGCCTTCTCACTTCCGATGGATCCACATGATAGAAAATCGGACAGACCGTTGTGTTGCTGCATTCAAGTGCCTCCACAAGTTCATCCAAACACCATCTCGAAGAAGCATAATTCTTCGATAAAACTATAATCGAAAACCTCGATCCTCCAATCGCTCTCCGGAGCTCCGGCGAAATCGATTTTCCTCTCTCGAGCTTTTCATCGTCTTTGAAGGTGCGAATCCCCTTGTGAGTCAACGCAGTGTAGAGATGACTGACGAAGTTGTTGCGAGTGTCTTCGCCTCTAAAACTCAAGAACACATCGTAGGTGTATCGAGGTCGAGATGAAGATGGAACAGAGGAGGAAGCCATTGTTTAACTGTTTGGTATAAGGAATTAGTAGAGAGAGATAAAATTGGGAAATTGAAAACACAAGTAGAAACTAGGATCTCTGTGGCCTTTTTTATAATGTGAAATTTGCGTTATTTGCAAGCAATTTGGTACAGACAAACAACAAATTTTCTTTGTAACTTCCACGAATTTCTTCAAAGAAAGCGAGAAGGTCCACTGCTGTGTAGGAGTACTGCTTCCTCTGCTTCTTGGTTTTTTCTTGGTTATTGCAAATACGCTTGAACAGGTCCGCGCGTTTAATATTATTTTAAAAACATGCATTGAATTGTAATTTCTTTATAAAAGAAAGCAAAAGCAAGAACAAATTTTTTTTGTCACATATCAGCAAACAATCAGCCAAACACGGCCCAGTGCTAGGAATTGTCACTGACTTTGGAATGATTTAAATAAATGTATTTTTTAATTTTTTATAAAAAGATATATAGAAAAGTAAAAAGAGTGATTTGATTCAAAAAAATATATAAAAAAATGTACTTTTTATATCATAGCAAATAGTCCCCTCGTAATGAAGGTTGTTAAAATCATAATTTTAGATGGAATCATTAGAAGAAAATGATAAATAAAATAAAATCAAATTGTAGAATCAAATTAAAAATGATAAAATTTTACTTTTAAGACAATAAAATAAAATAATATTAGTTCATATACCAAGTTAAGTGGTCGGGCTTCACATGATAAGATTAGACTTGAACCCGACTTATATTCATTTCTACTCAATGGTACTTTATGGCGATTAAAGGTTTCAGAATCCATACTCAAATATAAATAATAATCAAATAACATAATCCGATCAATTCCCTTAATGTCCAACATAATAATTTAGAATTCAATCTTAATTATTATGGAAGATATCGTCGTTTAGTTCATTTAAAATAATAATCTTATGTATGTTCTTCCTTGCCAAATTATTCAAAATTAAATCATCTAAAGTATCTTTTGGCAACAAATCACAATAGATATCCAACGTTTGATTTTTAGCAGAGATATGATCAAGGCAAGTAAATTAACTCGAAAATTTCAAATCATGAAAGAAACCGAATCAAATTTATAGCGATCCCGATTTTTTCTTCCTTATTTACTGTATTCCGGACTCGGTTCCGTTGATAGCTGTGGTTGTCTGTATTTCATTTCCGTCCTTTAATGCTTTCGATTGGAGTTTAGAAATGTCTTGGACGTGTTTCGAACAGGTTGGTTGAGCTTTAGTCCCATTTCTTGTTGCCCAGATTTTTGGTGGTCCGCTCGAGCGGATCCATTCGCGCTCGAGCGGAGTTTGCACACCTGCAGTAGTTTTTCCGTCTGCAAAAGTACTGCAGATGTGTTTTTCACGCTCGAGCGGATTTCCTTACGCTCGAGCGGGTTGCGCTCGTGCGAGTACCCTTGCGCTCGAGCGGGTGTTCTTTGTCTGTAAAAGTACTGGAAGAGTGTAATCTACGCTCGAGCGGGTTTCCCTTTGCGCTCGTGCGGGTGTGTTTTGCAGTTGTGTCTTGACGCTCGAGCAGGCATTCTTGCGCTCGAGCGGGTTCAGTTTTTGTGCTTGACGCTTGAGCGTCCTATTCTCCGCTTGAGCGGACTAGTCGTATATCAGATTGCAGCTGGGTGATTTTAAATCATTTTTCACACTTTCTTTCTCTCTCTTACTTTTCAAAACCTCCATTGGAGAGCACCTCACTCTAAAACTCCAACTTCTCTCTAGGGTTTGATCTAGTAGGAGTGATCTTCTATCCTTGGGCCTTTGTAAAAAGTGTGGAGCTTGTTGAGGGCTACATTTTGATCCGAAAATATTGGGGTTTGGAGCATTTCGAATTTCTTCATCTTCCTCCTTTGAGCTCCGAATTTGAGATAGGAATAACTACTCATTTTTATGAGCTTTAACATAGATGTTGAGCTTTTTTGTATAAATGGTTTGATTTGGGAAGTTAGGGTTTGTGATGTGTTATATTGGAAAGAGGGGTTTTGTTCTTTTGATTCAAACATATGTGTTTTGGGTCTAAAAAGCAGGTTATTGATGTTGTTGATAATATTTGGACCTTTGGGTCAATGCTGAGAAAAGGGGAAAAATGCCATGTTTGGGTATATTTGGGTCGTTAGTGTAATTAATGACATTTATTATCGGAATATGAAATTGAGTGGAAATAATGAAATTGACTCATTATAAGGTAGAATGGTGGAGTTGGATTCATTAATCACTCACCTTTGAAAATGTGGATAAATTATCTGTTGATATAATTATTGTCTGTTTAGAAATAATTACTTTGGGCTATCAGTGGAGAATAGTCTTGATTGTTGTAGACATTGCATGATGACTAGGCGAATTAAAACTAATCGGTTGTATGTCATTGATTATGATGAATGGAATAATACATCAAATTTGTGTATTGATTGAACATGTATATGATAGATGCTTATATACATTGTGTTATGTGGGAGGAGATAGGGGATGTACTCCATTGATACAGCAAATATGTGTATCTATTGAAGTATTGATACAGCGAATATGTGTATCTGTTGTGAAGTTTGGAAGTGTTTTATGTAATATTGATACAACAAATATGTGTATCTATTGTGATGTCTGGAAGTATTGTTGATATGAGATGTAATCTCACCCAAATTGTTTGGCCAGGTTTTGAGCCACGATTATGAATTGAGAATCAGTTAAGTAAAGGAAAAATAAATGAAACATGGACATATGTGTCATGTAATTGAAATGAATTATGAATTGATTTATGTGAGTTAAACATTTATCAAATGCTAATGTTTTAGTTATTGCTCATATTATGTTTAGCATATCTCTACTGGGCGTTGGCTCACCCTATATGGGACATCATTTTCAGGTGCAGGTGCTATGCCACCTCCAAGGACGTAGCTTGGGAGGCTTGAGGCTGTTAGACCCTTTTTGTTGTTTTTGTAGTATTACATGTATATCAAGCCAAGGGCTTATTTTGTGTAGAGTTAGTACTCTCCTTTTGTAACCAAGTATTGACTTGGAAAGTTGTAAGCCTATAGGGCATTTACTTTTGTTGTCAACATGTAATACCTTTTGTAATGAATACCCTGATGAATGAAATTATGCTTTATTCTCTTATGTCTAAGCATGTCAAGATTGTATGATTTATGGGTTTATTTTGAGGGCGTTACAAAATTCATATCCAAAATTTACTAAATTAATTTAGAACAGACAGGAACAATTAATCACTAAATCCTCAATTTAGGGAATATGATCGGATCATGTATTCAATTACTGCCATACAAGAGGCTTCATCCTTAACCTTAGCTAATAATTTAGCAACTCATAATTATTTTAACATACACACTAAAATCAAACATGAAAATAAAATTTACAACTGAAAGGAGAAAATTACACCAAAATACAAGACCGAGCTCCACTTTTTTTTTTTCTTCAAAAACTCCCCCTTTCTCACATTCAGTTCATCTCATTTATAGAGCTCACTACACACTCTTGAAGTTGTCTAATCTTTAGAAGCAGGTATTATTGAGATTTTGAGGCTGAAATTGTTGAAATTTGATGCATCGATTTCCATTAACAGATCGCACGCCTCCACCTTTGTCTCCATTCTTCGGCTCTTGTCTTCCGCAACTGCGTTCAGCCTTCAATTCAGAGATTATGTTCATGAGCCTAAGGAAATGATTTTATTGCACCTGCAAAATTGCGTAGCTAAGTCAATAGAGTGGTTGAAAACTTTCTCTTTTCTTTCTTGTTTATTTTTTTTATTTTTTATTCTTTGCTCCTTCTTCTTTATTTAAAATATATATATATATATATATAGTTATATAGAAACAAACAAACGGGTGGCTTTTCATTTTTTTAATTATATTTTCTTTATATTATATTATATTATAATATTATAAAATATATCATTTATAATAATATTTATAGAACACTTAAAATATATAAAAACACTCAAAATCACACAAAATTATAAAATAGTACTTGTTATCAGACTACTAAAGTCTACATTAGCAAGCCAAATATGTAACGTTATGGCACTTATCAACTCTCCTCAACTTATACTTTGCTAGTCCTCGAGCAAAACAAAAATTACAAATAACACAGATAATAATAAAATCCACTTTCGCAGGTTTCTCGATTACATTTAGCATATGCAACAAGCCTTTAAACCCCTAGGTTACCCCTAGTGAACGAGTTATAGTCTCGTGAGGGTTTGCTGTAAATATAGCCACAAAATTTTAAAAACTATCCTTACAATTTTTCTTTCATTCTCATACATGCAATTCAAGTGCAAAGTCATGAATTCCATCATCTTAATAGAAAAATCAATCATAGTTTAAAGTAATAACAAGAGTAAAGATATCTCAAAATATTCAAAATCTGGAGTGTGTGAATAAGTTTAGCCAGCATAAATACAATTTCAATCTCAAAGTGGAACATAACTCAAATTTCTTTTAGAAATATGCCTCAACTCCAAATCTCACCAGATAATGCACTCACTACAAGAAATTGCACTTTAGGCGACTAAATTTTTAGTCGCCAAAAGTAAGATTTTAGTCGCCGAAAAAATATCCCGACTAAATATTTTGGTGGCCGGATTTGTCGCGGAAAGATTGTCGGGGAAGGTATTGGCTACTAAAAAATCTTTAGTCCCCAAAAGTCCTATAAATGGTGACGAATTTTTTAGTCGCCAAAAGTCAATGTATTAGCGACAAAAATAATATTTGGTCACTGATTAGGCGAAATTGGCGACTAATTTGTTATTCATCAAAAGCTTTCAATTTAATTTAATATCACATTTTCAACTACTAAAATTTTTGTCGCCAAAACTTGAGGTATCTAGGGCGACCAAAGTTTTAGTCGCGAATTTTCTTTTTTGGTTCATCTAACTTTTTTTAGCTACAAAATGTTTAGTCGCCGAAAGTCCAGTTTATTGTTTAGCTACTAAATAGTTTAGTCACCTAAAGTCTAATTTTTTTATTTAGCTACTAAAATTTTAGTCGCTTATCATATGATTTTTATATTTTGGCGACTAAATATTTAGTCGCCAAAAGTGTTCTCTTTTTTATTTATTTTTTATTTTTGACTACTAAATCATTAGTCACCTAATGTCTTTTTCACGTAGCTGCTAAATATTTAGTCGCCAAAAAATTTGTTTTCATTTAATTCTTTTTTAGCTACTAACTATTTAGTCGCTAAAAATATTTAACATCATTTTTGACTACCAATTGTTTAGTCGCCAAAAACATCATTTTATGTTTTTTTCATTTATTTTAATTAATTTATCCACAACATGTATGTATCCCATGCAATCTGTAACAGATATACAAACAAAACAATACATATATATTATCACCCATTCCACAATCTGTATTAATTTCATTTACAACCATCCAAACAACAGAATAACTTTTAATGTCAACATTGCATACAAACTAAGTATATTCCAACTTAAAATAATAATTTTATACAAAACAAATAAGAGACAAGAAGTTATTCAATACAAGTTCAGCCAGCTTGCATGTAAAGAAAAAATTTGTATGTATGAAGTTTGACAATATGCAACATGATCACATATGCAAGCAACCCAATTGAGTAGTTTGAGGATCGGTCCCCTCTTCAATCACAGCATGACATAGGCAGCATTTAGGAGGCCAATCATACTCTCAGTCTATTACCCATTCTGAGTAAGTTCGACCTACAAAGGGACAAAACAAATATAGCATAAGCCTCAAAGTACCCTCAGAGACATAAATACAAATACAGAGACATCTTATCAAGCCAAAAAAAAAATATAGATACAAATACATATTTCCTACTCCTATAGGAAAGCAAACTAGCCCCACATATATAACATAAGCAGCTACAAGAAGATGCTACAGTTAAACCAAACCAAGCCTTAAGTCTCATCAAATGGGGTAGGCCGCAAGAATATGCTACAATTATCAGAGAAAAACTTGTAGTACAACAACACTATAATAAAGTCATGGCAGTGGAAGTAAAATCAATAGTCACTATGACCACAGTCAATTACAAATCTGTTCCCCTCAATATGTAGAAGGCATCCGATTGCCAATGAAAAATATAATGCACAAGCACCTAGACTGAATTTAATGACATTATCACAGCTCGTGAAGGACATTTGAATGAAGAAAAAGATAATAAAGCATTATAGCAACTCAACAGATTAACAATGCTTCATATTCCAAGCTGTCTTTATCTTAGATTAATCCCAAACAAGTATCACCAAGAGAATACATAATAAAATGTAGAGTAGGGACAACACAAAATCAACTCTAAATGAACATCTATATTTTATGAACTTTTGTGCTTAAAAGAAGGCTTTCAAAGTTTTCTTTGAATGATTGCTTTGGTCTGGTGCATGCAAAGGAAGTGAAGCTAGATTCTATAGGTTAGATTCATCTTTTAATACTGTTATCCATGGTTCAACTGAAAATTTTTGCTAGCGAAAAACAATTAAACATGATTCTCACAGTGGTTGAAAATGAAGAAAATTGGAGTGTGGGACAAAGGCGTTTTTTAGTCCAACTCCCAACCTACGTGTGCTAATTACATCCCGTCTATCCCCACAGATCCTATTTGTCATGAGAAAGCTACTGGTGACATCAATAGAGTGGTTTGGGGGCTGTTTTATATTTTTGCCCCCCGAACGGCCTTTTTCGACTAAGTTTAAGGTGTTTTTGAGTCCAACTCCCAACCTACGTGTGCTTATTACATCCCGTCTGTCCCCACAGGTCCTATTTGTCATAAGGAAGCTACCAGTGACATCTACAGAGTGGTTCGGGGGCTGTTTTATATTTTTGCCCCTTGAACGGCCTTTTTTGACTAAGTTTAATGCGTTTTTTACTCCAACTTCCAACCTACGTGTGCTAATTACATCCCGTCTGTCCCCACAGGTTCTATTTGCAATGAGGAAGCTACTGGTGACATCCATAGAGTGGTTTGGGGGCTGTTTTATATTTTTGCCCCTTGAACAGGCTTTTTCGACTAAGTTTAATGCGTTTTTGACTCCAACTCCCAACCTATGTGTGCTAATTCAATCCCGTCCGTCCCCACAGGTTCTATTTGTCATGAGGAAGCTACCAGCGACATCCATAGAGTGGTTCAGGGGCTGTTTTATATTCTTTCCCCCGAATGGCCTTTTTCGACTAAGTTTAAGGCGTTTTTGAGTTCAACTCCCAACCTACGTGTGCTAATTACATCCCATCTGTCCCCACAGGTCCTATTTGTCATGAGAAAACTACCGGTGATATTCATAGAGTCATTCGGGGGCTGTTTTATATTTTTGTCCCTTGAACGGCCTTTTCGATTAAGTTTAAGGCGTTTTTTACTCCAATTCCCAACCTGCATCGGGGTTACCAATTGATTTGAAATGTGATTCATGCATTTCCTCAATTTTTGTATATGTTTTTACTATTGAGTCTCCTATTATGGTTTCTCCGCTTGTAACAAAATGAAATGTCAGTTGATTACTGACTTCCAGCTATCTATGAACTACCTTGCAGTGTTTGATTCATATAAATGTTGTAGAGTTGTGCATTATGATTTCCTTGTTTGGATATTCAGTACTAGAGTCTAGAACAGAACTACAAGCAGGTCTCATGAACTGGTTCATCATTCTACAAAATCATGGGAGATTAACAGATAACTCTCACAGTGGCATTTCACTGAACTTTGTGTACTCATCTTCAATAGGGAGTTAAATTTATGTTCATTAAAATTTTAACTTTTAAATAATGAGACATTATTTAATCCTAATGATAATGTCATTTTCTATTTGACTTTCCTTGCTTTGGTTTTTCCCTCCTAAAACACTTGTAAAAACATTTCTCATCCAGTTATCCACAAGTTGTGTCTCAACATAAAAGTTAGGCATTCATTAGAATTTATTATGTATTATGAGAAACTATATCAAATAAATTCCTGAGCCTCTGTCATTGTGCAGTGTCTTCTAATTTTAGGCAACTTTCACTGTAAGTCAATTTAGTGGCTTCCTTCTTTGTCTTCTTGTTTTATGATAGCACATTATATCAGTAGTCTTTCGACAACTAAAACTGAATGTGCTCTTTATAGGTAAAAGGGCATTTATTTAAGTTTAATTATTTTAAATTTTTTTGTCAATTAACTTAAATGAATGTATATATCCTAGTCTCAAAACAAGTTGGAAGGAAATTGAATAGCATTTTGAAGTCATTAAGCTCTCTTTTTATACTTTATTTTCTTTGCTTGTTATTTTCTTTGACTTGCTTTCTTGCAGATAATGGTTTGTTGGCTAAGGTAGTGATATTGGCTAGGGCTTTATCAACGTGATCAAATCATTTTATTAATGTTCAGGCCACAAAGTGAATATATTCCATGAATCTCCTAAGTAGTAGGTAAAGAGTACAAAAGTAATAGCTTCAGCTAAAGATGTTACACAAAATAGTTCAACTCTAAAATCACAGACCATTGAACAAGGCATGCAAGCACATTGGGTCCAATGGAGAAGTAATATGGATAAACAAATAAAGAAAAACTGAAATCCAACACAATTAAGGTCAATACCGAATAAGGACCCAAATGGCATACCTGTTACGGTTGGCCAGCAACTAGCAGTGAAACTCCAAAAGGCCTTACACCACTGCACAGAAAACAGAAGGGTAGGAAATAGCCAAAAAAATAAGCATACAGAAGAGCCAAGATCAAACCCATGGTATGGAGAAAATAATAGATGAGGAAAAGAAAAATAAATAAATAGATGCACAACACAGGTCCATTTGACTCTGAAAAGGTCAAATACTCAAAAATCAGCTTAATCTTGCTTCAAAAACCTTTCAACCTTTCAAAAACCTTACATAAATCATTTGCATGTGCCTCTACCTTTGCCTTTGCCTTTCGAAAAATAAGCAAAAACTTCACACATATTGTAAAAATATGATAAACAAACAAGTTTGATTAGTAAGCTTACCCCACGAACACAGAGGACATTGAAGTTTCATTCATTGTGGATCACAACACCGACATTTCTATTTTGAAGAAACTGAACCTATGTATATATAGAAACACATTTGAAATGTAAAAGAAAAATTATATTAAGAAATGTAGATTAAATAAAAAAATGAGTATTGAGATCTAATATTACTGTTTCCTCCAGCATATCATCCACCTGTAAAAAATAATACAAAAGCATTTGATTATGAGGAAAATTAGAAACAATATCTAATCCATCACATGCTAGGGATCGATACTAACCAGATTTGCCAAGAGAGACAATGTTGTCTTTCATATAACCTTCGCCAACGGTTTGTAAACCACAGTGGATTTTCCATCTGAATTCAAACCCTGCCACCTTCTTGTATGGACAACAAGCTGCAGAAGGCCAAAAAATGAAGTCCAAAAAAGACCACAGTGGATTTTCCATTCAAATTGTTGGACAACACAAAGATCAAAAAGAACGTCCAAAAAAGAAGTCCTTGAAATATGATCAGAAGGCCAAAAACAGAAGAAAAGGGGAGGGGGGTGATTACCTGGGAAGAAAGTTTAGGATGATGGTTCACCATTGGCTTGAACCTCACAGTTTTTGGTCTAATGGCACCGACTGCAGCTTCAGAACATGCATTAGAGGGTGAGGAATCAATAGCACTGGCTAGGAGCTCGAAAAAGGACCTAAAAGTGGAGCAAGAAGGCCTTGAAGAAACCGGTTTAGCTATAACTATCCTTTGTGCCTATTTAACCTCCATTATCAATCAATATAGGAAGTTCTAGTCAATTGTTTTGGCTCATAATATGTTGATGGATATTAAACGTTGACTTGGTATTTTGACTATCTTAAGATCAATCTGAATTTTATTTATGTCTCCAATAGCAGAAAATAGAGGCAAAGATGTTTGGAGATGAGGTGATAAGCAGAATGGTGATCAGCTACTTGGAAGTGTTGGCTTTAGCTTTTCAAAGAATGAAAAGCGAGATTCAAATTCTTCAAACCTGCATGAATTGTTTTAATGTCAATATGTAAATTACTTAGACGGATAGAATGATAGAGAGGAAGAAAGAAAAAGAAAATTATCTTTTCACAAAGAAGTGATTGATGAAGTAAACTGTGTAATGAAATGGCCTTAAATTGTGAAACCAAATGGTAACTTCTCTGCAATTTCAGAATACTAAAGCGGGCCTTTTATACCATGACAAATGTTCATCCCACAAAACAATCTTTTTTCTCCCTTTTTTTTTTTTTTTTTTTTTTTTTTTTCCCAATTAACAAACAATCAAAACAGAGCTTAGGGCTCGTTTGGGAATTCAGAAAGGCAGCACTGAGGAAATGGTCCTAGAAAATTTATCACTGTTCTTCACAGCTGTTTGATGATAGCATTATTTATGTAGTGCACTACATAACATGGACAGTGGCACCTACAATAATTTCGATTAGGTTTAACATTAATCTCCTTCTACTGTTAGGACAAAACATAAGGTACATTTTACCAATTCCTAGACCTATGCACCAACATTGCCTAAAGACACAATATTTCACAGATTATGTGTAAAGAAACCAACTATAATACCAATATGAAAAAACACCTCAACAGCACGACAGACCTATGACCGTGCTGTCCTCAAAGAAGGGAGGATGAAAATTAAAGTGACGAAAGCATATTAGTTGGTGTGTGGAACAAACAATGGCCAAATGCATCTTCTGTACCTCTAGTTTTTTTCTTGACCGTTGCTACTCCCTTAGAAAAGTTTAGCTATACTTGAATAATCCAATGTATAATCCATAAAAAGAATCTCTTCTTGTAATATTGAATGATAAATAAAAGTCTCGTCTCCATTAAGGTATAAGATACTTATCTGTTTCCTACTCAGTAACAAGCTAAACTTTCATTGCAACCACAATTTAGAGGCACCTTAAATTGTTTTAGAAGCCTAAGATACCTTTCTACAGCAAAGATTGCAGAACTTAAAACAAAGGGACTGTAGATTGTTTGGCATACCAAATAACAATTCTTAAAATAATAACATTTCATTAGCCGTATCAATTTTTTAATTCAAAGAAGCTGCCTAACCCACAACTAAAGAACAAAACACATCATTCTGCATATGGTAGCTCTAATTTAATGAAGTTGACGATGCTTCAACCTCCCCAAAAAAAACCCCTTTACGTAAAAATAAAAATTAAATGTGCAGTATTGTCACTTTCCATAAGCAATTTTACACTAATTTATTGACAATGTCAATATGAATAGTAAAAAGGCCAGACAAACCAATATGCTTTTTCCCTATCACCAAACAACAAATTCCTTATCCAAAGAATGGAACTATGCATTTCCACCAAGGAGAAAAAGAAAAGGAGAAGAAAATTGCATGATAAATAGAATCAGAAAGTTGTGACAAAAAATGCAAAATAAAAAAAGAAACCCTAAGATGTAGAACACAACACATGAAAAGAAACCATAAATCAAATGCAAAAAAGCGTTCACAAAAAGTAGAAATATAGAGACATAGAAGAAGAAGGAACTAACTAGAAAGGCAAACAACTAACAGCTTATGAAATTGATTTGCTCCAATTAAATCTCATTTTCTACCCATTTTACAGCTCTCAACTCTACCTGCATTCCAGAACCTAGGATTTTAATATGAATAAATTAAGAAAAAATAGTAGCCAATGGAATAAAAAAATGGTATGTATGACGGAGAAATAAGATTAGCCCAAAATAAACTTTAACAACTTCAATCTTTGCATACCATGCTAGATGAGCTTTATCTCTTTTTGAGCCAAAGTTAACCTAGATGAAGAAAAAGTTTCATCTGGGTTTTCCAAGCTATGAGTCCTTTAGGCTGAGGCTTCCAAACAGTACCTCTTTTATATGAGAGAGAGAGAGAGGGAGAGAGAGAGAGAGAGAGAGAGAGGGCAAATTGTGAGGTAGTTCACACACTGAAAAAATTGCAGAAGAAAATTTTGGAAATCCAAATTGGATATGAAATCAAAATCACATTCATAATCAAAATCAAAATCACATTCACACACACAATCAATGGATTAGGGCTTTGAAACTAATGAGCAGCCATACATGCAAATACATACACAATGAGCCGGATTCGGGCTTTGAACCTAATGAGAGAGAAGGGAAAAGAAGGGGAAAGGCACAAAACCACAAAATAAGCAAACCCATTTACGACATCAAACCCATAAAACTGTAGAAATCAAACCAAAACCAAACGCATTTCAGAAATCCACACGAAATTAAACTCAACAAATCATGTAAAACCCTAGAGAAAGAGTAAGAAATGGGGAAATAGAGGAAGGGAGAGAGAGAGCGAGCGAGAGAGAGGAGAGAAAGAGAAAGAACCTGTTCGTATTGCGGAGGCCGGTGGCGGTGGTGATTTGCAGCGGTGGCGATGTCCGACGAAGGTGAGGAATGGTGGTGAGGGCCCTCGGTGAAGTGAGAAGATGTGAGGTTCTCTGTGTGAGAGGGAGACACGGGAAAGTGACGTAAATCTGGGCGCCAATCATAAAAATATTTTCCCCCCAAAATTTTATAAATCTTTTAGCGACAAAAACGTTTTTTAGTCGGCATAAGTTAACTATTTGGCGACAAATTGTTCTTTTGTCAGAAAAAATTGAGTATACAGCGACCAAAATCATATTTAGTCGCTAAAAACAAATTTTTGTTTTTCATTCCGCAACTAAAAAATTTTAGTAGCCAAAACTAACTATATAGCGACTAGAATATTTTTTAGTCGCTAGTTGTGGCAATTTTAGCGACTAAATTTTGTTTTAGTTGCCAATAATCAATATACCCCGACAAAAAAAAATTAGTAACTAAATGTTATACTTTTACCGACTAATATAGTTTTTGGTCGCCAATTCCATAACTTTTGGCAACTAAAATTTTTTTAGTCGCCAAATTTGATCGCCAAAAGTGCAATTTGTTGTATTGACTCCACAAATAAATCACTCCGATCATGTGCAAAGATTACTCTCAATATATATATACATATATATATATGGAAGTGAAGTAATGTATACCAAAATCAAAATATCTCGCATATTAAGTTTTTGAAGAAAAACGCTAATACGGAAGGGGTAAACTACCAATAAGTCTTAATAGTTAGACTTAATTCACATCAAGTCTTATTGAAAATAAGTCTTGGTAAAATTGTCGTTAAAAATAATTTTTTTGTAACAATTTTTTATATATGTTGCTAAAAATTGACAATTAATGACTTTTTTTGGTCATGATTTTTATAAATTGTCGCTAAAACTTACAATTAGTTTATTATGACAAATTTTTTCCATAGGAACTATTAGACAATAAGTCCACTTTCTCATTTTGGCTCTCCACAGGTAGCCAGCCTCCATTGCTAGGCAAAGTGTGTTCCCGCCAACTCAGGTGACTCTCTTTCCCGCCAACTCAGGTGACTCTCTTTCTCTTTCTCTCTCTTTCTCCCTTTTCTGTTCTTCCCCATCAACGATCTCCCTTTCCCGTTAGCTCCTAAATTTTTTCATAGATGGTACAAGTAGAAGCCATTGCTGCTTCTCAGAAGCAGCTTCTACAAAAGCCAACTTGCACTTGGATCAGATAGGTACAAAACCATCTTCTTCTTCTACTAGTTCTCTCGGCACAAGCAGTCCTTGGTGGCCAGATTGTCAAGTATTTACCTGGTTTTGATGGTGAACTTCCCTTCAAACTTGAAACTGGGCAAGTCTTTGGTTTTTTTTTTTTGGGTTTTTCCCCCAAAATTTTTCAGTGATTTGTGGGTACAAATTGGTATTTTGTTTTAGTTGAAATCTGATGATGGGTTTGTTGTTGATTTTGACAGATATATTAGTGTTGATGATTCGGAGTTGTTCTATTATTTCATTGAATCAGAAGGGAACCTTCAAGATGACCCACTTTTTCTTTGGCTCACTGGTGGACCTGGCTGCACTTCTTTCATTGGACTCCTTTATGAAGTTGGTATATATCTGTATCTATAGATATAGCTATATATTTCTCTTCTATATGCTTCTTTATTTTTCAGTATCAGAATGACAAAATTGCTACCTTGTTTGATCTTTAATATTTGTGTTGAGTTCACTCTCTTATCTTAGCTGAGATGGTCAGAGACCAAATTATATTTTTTTTGGGGAAAATAATAATAATAATAATAATAATAATAATAATAATAATAATAATAATAATAAACTAGGGTTTTACATAAATTTCAAATTAAAACTTGGGTATTGAATTTTGCGAATTAAAGCCCAGTACTTTTCAAATTACTTTTCAAAAGATTATTTATTTATTTATTAATGTTTATAATAGTTTTTTTAAAAAATTAGTTAAGTTAGTATGATTGGATAGCTATAATAAAGAGTATGGTTGCATTATACACTAGCTAAACTAGTTAGGCAAAATAAAGAAGATAGTTTTCTGTGTACTTTGATGAGATATTTTAGAGAGCATGGTTGGAGATACTCTTAGGACCTACACGTAAGTACCCTAAATATAGTCTCATGATTGGAATGCCAAATACTAAGAATTTAAAATTACCACACTATTACCCTTTTTAAATCATGTCCACATACAAATCATACCATCCCAAGATTAAATAGGACTTTTGTTGTGTTGTAATGTAAAGATTAAGGTAATATGATAAAAGGTGAAGGTAAAAAAAAATAAAAAGACTTATGGAGTATTCATTGGAATAGGAATAAATAACCTAGGGCATTATTGAAATGAATCACTTTTCAATTTTTTTCTCTTTCTTTTTTTTCTTTTTCTTTTTTTGTTTTGTTTTGTTTGTTTGTTTGTTTTTATTTTTTTATTTTGTTTTGTTTGTTTGTTTGTTTGTTTGTTTTTCTTTTTTTGTTTCGTTTTGTTTTGTTTTGTTTGTTTGTTTGTTTGTTTTTCTTTTTTTGTTTCGTTTTGTTTTGTTTTGTTTGTTTGTTTGTTTTTTTTTTCTTTTTTTGTTTTTTTTTTTTTTTTTTTTTTTGTTTTTATTTTTTTATTTTATTTTGTTTTGTTTGTTTGTTTGTTTTTTTTTTTGTTTTGTTTGTTTGTTTGTTTTTATTTTTTATTTTTTTTGTTTTTTTGAGTTCAGACTTGTTTGCCCTGTTTCACAACATAATAATTCCAATAACTCTCTAAATACATTGGGTCTTGTGTTTAACAAAGAAAGGTTAAATAAAAGGCTTTAAAATAATAAAAATAATAAAAAAAATCAAAGATGGCCTAAAATCATCTCTCAAGAATTGGTATGATTTTTCTAATTTTCATGATCTCAAATAAGTAAAAGTGTGGTAATAAATTAATGTATTCTCAGTATTCAACCAAAATAACGATTAATGAGACTAATCGACAATATAATGCGCTTTCAACAAAAAGAATTAAGAGTAAATGTATAATAACCCTCCAAAGAAATAATGGAACAAAACTCACAAGGGTTAAGAGTCTCCACTTTTATTCTTCAAGATTTTCAAGTCATATCCACTCATCAATTAAAAATTGAGTTTATGTGTCTAAAGTGCAGTGCAAATAGTTTTTCAGATATGAATATATGAAATGCTTTAACAAAGATGTAGTAAAATAAACGACAACCATTTTCCATGTTAAAACAACATAAATATCACAACTAGCACAATTACTAACTGTAAAGAATAAAAGATAAACATGAATATAGATTTTTTATTTTATTTTATTTTATTAGGGAATAACAAAAATAATTGTAGGAAATAACAAAAATAATACTCCCCCAACTTGAATATGACAGTGTCCTCAATGTCGACAATAAACACAAAGAAGGAGGGATGGACACGAGATCACCTGGAAATAAGAATGCCTCAAATGATGTAGAGCACATGCAAGTTTGTTAGCATTCAAACAGCCTACCATTCATGCATATTCTATCTCATAGTGCCAGATTGTTCCAAATGCTTCATAATGAGCAAACGGAACAATTGGGGATTTCGCCAATAATAATTGTAAGGAATATGAAAGAAAAAGATAACTAGATGAGCATAAAAATGATTAATCTCAATGCTAATAATTGGATTATGCAAAAGAAAACGTCGAAGGTTATCTTCGAGTTGAGGATCAAGTGGTATCTAATCACCCTTCAATAAAATAGAATCATCAATGTCATAAGCCCAAAGAGTGGCATGGTGTATGTGTTCAATCCAGCTATCATTGTCAAGATAGGCAAGTGGAGGGTCCAGTTCTAGAATGGTATAGGCCACCTGGCGTGCTGCAGAAATATACGTCGTATCGTACTGCATATATGAAGGGATAAAGACCTAACAGTAAAATTAAGAAAAATATTTATTAAAGTCACTCATTGGATGCAAAAACATGAAGTTCAAAATTATGAAGAATATTATTATCATTATTATTATTAATCTATGTCGTTTTTTTTTTTGTTTTTGTTTTTGTTTTTGTTTTTTTAAAAAAAAAATAAGGAAATGTGGGTTTAATCCTAATAACCAGGATCTTCTAAAAGAATTTCCTCAACGGCTGCACTCCTCAATTTTAGAAATGGTTTCAAACGTTGCCCATTTACCTTAAACACCTCACCATTTCTAGGATTTTCAATTTCAACAGCTCCATATGGGTATACCACACGGACTAAGAAAGGACCAGTCCATCGAGACCGAAGTTTCCCTGGGAATAAATGCAAACGTGAATTATAGAGGACTTTCTGACTAGGTATAAAGGATTTTCTTAGAATATTCTGATCATGCATTTTTTTCATCTGATCCTTATATGACTTGGCACACTCGTATGCATCATTCCTTATTTCCTCTAACTCATTAATTTGGAGCTTGCGATTGGCACTTGCTTTATCCAAATCAAAGTTAAGTTGCTTTATAGCCTAGTAAGCTCTATGCTCTAATTCAACAGGGAGGTGACAAGCCTTGCCATAGACCAGTCGATAAGGAGACATTCCTATGAGAGTTTTAAATGCAGTACGATAAGCCCACAATGTGTCGTTCAATCTTAAAGACCAATCTTTTCTATTAAGATTTACCATTTTTTCTAATATTTGTTTGATCTCCTGATTTGAAATTTCTACTTGTCCACTATCTGTGGATGATAGGTTGTTCCAACTTTATGAGTTATGCAATATTTCTTCATTAAATGTTCAAAAATCCTATTGCAAAAATGTTTCCCACCATCGCTAATAATGGCATGAGGCCTACCAAAACATGCAAAAATATTAGTCTGTAGGAATTGGACTACAACTCGATGATCATTAGTTTTACATGCAATGGCTTCCACCCACTTAGACATGTAATCAACTGCAACAAGGATGTGCAAATTACCAAAAGAGTTAAGAAATGGTCCCATAAAATCAATGTTCCACACATCAAATATTTAGACTATTAAAATTGGGTTGAGTGGCATCATGTTTCTTCGAGAGAGACTTCCTAATTGTTGGCATCGCTCACAGGCTGAGCAATATGTAAATGAATCACGAAAAATAGAAGGCCAAT